TTAGTCATGCTGGCCACATGACCACGGAAACGTCTTCGGACAGTGCTGGCTCTTCGGCTTTGAAACGGAGATGAGCACCGCAACCCTAGAGTCGGACTCGACTGGATTTCAAGCAAGGGAACCTTCACCTTTACTAGTTAAAAACAATTATGGGCCACATTGTAGCAAACTTAAATTATGTAATCATATAAGAGATTTTACATTTGATGCAGGGCCTGAGAATAATGGTGAAGCCTCACAGTGTCTCATATGCCCTGAATAATATTAGTATTGTTAGCATAAAAAAAATAGAAATGAATGTTCCAATAGCCAATCTTTTTTAAAAAAAATGTATAGTAATAATAATAATAAATTAATATAATAAAAGCCGTTACATTACCTGCCTGTTTTCGTTCCGAAGATACAATCAAATCAAAGCCAATCAAATCAGACCCAGTGTACCCAAATGTTGTGCAATGTGAAATGGCAGAGGTGTCTCAAGATAATAGAAGTTGGTAGAGGGTGATGCGGTCCTGGTGCAGTCGGGATGCACGAAGCAATCAATGCGGGAGGGGGGAGGGGAAAAAAAAGAAAAGAAAAAAAGGTCAGAGACGTGGCACATCAGCCAAAGTGTCAGTCACTCATGACAAGAGAAACATTGGGAAGCAGCAAAGAACATTCACCACCAGTTCGATACAGCAGAACCATTCAAACCCTGCGGGGTTATAGGGTCCTCAAAGCGTGAATCCAGGAAGTCTCTCTCACAGGGAGAGCAGGGAGGCAGTGCAGAGGAGAGGTGGATGGAGCTGGGGCTGCGAAGAGGAGGGGAGGGGGTGGCCGCCCTCATTTCCCCACTGGGTTGATAGGCGAGGAGGGTCCTCTGGATGCCCAGTGACAGGCCCCCCCCCCCCCCCGCCTTGGGGGGCCGGCTGGGGGAGGGAGGGGGGGGGGGGGGCTTTGGAGAAGCCTCCCCCTCTTTTTTTTTTTTTTTTTTTTTGTGGTGGGGGGGGGGGGGGGGGGTTACCACCCTCCTGCCCGGCGAAGTGGCGGAGAGAGCGCGTGGCCTGCTGCCGCTGCCGGAGGGTTACCTGGAACTTTTGATTAAATTAGCTGCCGCCCCCCCCCATGGTCCCCTCCCCAAAAAGTCCCTAGCTACGGGGCTGCCCTGCAGGCAGCGGCACCATGACTTGCCCTCGGGCTTCCCTCTCCCTCCCACTGTGGGATTCTTGGGGGGGCATCATGGGACCTGGGAAAAGATCGTTCAGAAGGCCTTTTGAGCTCCCTTCCACAGGGTAAGAAAGCTTAGAAGGGCGCTCAGGAGGGACACCTTCAGTGCATCTCTCACAATCCCCCTTTCTGCTAGCCTGAGGCTGAGGCTTTGGACGCTGTGGCTGGATGGTTGCAGCAGAGTCGAAAGAAGTTAAATCCCTTGAACATGGAGGTCCTTGTCAGGCTTTCTGTGCATTTTGCGGTTTACAGCTTGCCTGTGTCAGGTCCCCACAGCAAACAACGTAGTACACACTTGCTAGAAGGCTTTACTTTATTGAAGCCATGAAGCACTTGAACAGGTTCACTGTTCAGAATAGCGAGAACCAAAGGGCCATGAAAGGTTAAAGCAAATTCATAATCACACTAGCCAATAACCACGGGTCCCGCATGCAGCCAAGGGGTCCCGCGCGCGCCTAAACCTTGGGAAGCAACTGCTACTGCAAAGTAAATAGGTATGCCGTTCCCACGGCTACTTCTCATTAGAGACATAGCAAAGCACCTCTGCTCTTCCTCCTGTGGCCTTGGCGAGATAGCGTTACATCAAAGCAGGGCTGGCATAGTCTGAAAGGAATGCATAGCTACTGGGGAAGATGTGCGCATGAAGAGCTAAGCGTATCTACGGGGCAAACATGGATGCACCTATGCACATAGAAATGAACCTTTGACAGCTTGCTGACAGCCTGTCATTGAGAGAGGAGGCTCCTCTCTCTCGCTCTCTTTGACGTGCCTGGGGCTTGTCACCTTCCCGATGCCAAATGTCCTGGCTTCTCAAATGTCTGTGATCCTGTTTCTGGCGGGCAAAATACTGGGGGTGATTGGGTCCTGATCTTTAGTGCCCTTACTTGAATTCCCTATATCTGTAACCTTTGCGTATTTAACTTCAGTCCTAAGATGAGGAGTGTCTAGGATGGTATCTGTCTCAATAAAGTTAGCTTTCTACAAACTGGCTGGTGTTGAGAACTGATTTAACCGGGAACCTGACAGTCTTGTACCTGGGTCGTGGGGTTATGGAGGTGGGCACCAGGCTCCCCACACTGGTGCCGGCCCAGGCAGTGAGGAGCCTGGGAGTAACTCCGGGTTCCTCTCTGCCCATGGAGGCCCAGGTTGCCGCAGTTGCCAGATCTGCATTCCTCCATCTTAGGCCGATCAGGCTACTGAAGCCCTCGCCCCCCCCCCCGGGACTTAGCTACAGTGACGCATGCAATGGTCACTTCCAGGCTTGATTACTGCAACTCGCTCTACGCAGGCTTACCCCTGAGGCTGATCCGGAAACTACAGCTGGTACAAAATGCGGCGACATCCCTGCTGACGTCGACGCCTGTGCAGGCTCACATTCGGCATGTGCTTTGTAACCTGCATTGGTTGCTGGTTGAGTACCGGATCTGCTTCAAGGTGTTGGTGATCACCTTAAAAGCCTTATTTGGCCTGGGACCAGCATACCTAAGGGACCGCCTCTTCCCATATATGTCTCGGAGAGCGTTACGCTCTGAGAGTCAACCTCTCCTGGCGATCCCTGGCCCAAAGGACGTCCGCCTCGCCTCGACCAGGGCTTTTTCCGCCCTGCCCCCCCCACCCGGTGGAACATGCCCCCTACTGAGATCAGGGCCTTGTGGGATTTTATTCAATTCCGCAGGGCCTGCAAGACGGAGCTCTTCCGTCAGGCCTTTGGCCGAGGCAGTGAGAGTCCACACATGGCCCCCCCCCCGAGGCTGCGGTCCCCCATTCACTGATAACCGGCCATACCTACCTACATCAATGGGCTGGACTCTCCCTACGGCAAGCTGTGACTATTGATTTTATATGGTTATAATGTGTTTTAAAGTTTTAGTGTATTTATGGAAATGTTGTAACCCACCCTGAGCCCGTTTACGGGATGGGTGGGATACAAATGCGATAAATAAATAAATAAACAGTCCAGTCCCCATGTTTCCCAAAAGCTCATGAGAATGCTTTTCAGAGACTCACCATGACCTATTATTTATTTATTTTATTTATTATGTTATATTTGTGGATCACCTAATGTTCACAGATGGGGGGCTCTAGGCAAATGTACAGATTTAAAACCATAAAAACCATGTCTAGCATATTATACAATAGTTCAAAGCAAGTAGTGCTATTTTTGTGAACCCCTCTTCCCGTTTCTTGTCTGTGGGAGCTTTGCGAGCATGAGGGAGGGAGGAAGCTCCACAAGGGATGGGGAGTCCAGGTAGGGTGCCGGCAACCAATAACAAGCCCCGCCTGACACTTTCTGAAAAGCTGGATGGGCCTGTAGTAATGTTTTTTTAAAAAAAACAGCTTGGTGCCAGATGGATCGAGGCTATGTCGCAACTTACGGAACAGTTTTTAAGCACTTACTCCACTTGATGCTGCCGCTTCAGTACTGCTTGTTCAGTTGCTTGCAAGTGTGGGGGCAGGTGTAAGGTTTCTCAGGAGTCTGACCTGCTCTAACCCTGCGAGTGGCGGCAAGCACCTGGGAGGGCCCTTGTGAAGAAAATCCTCCAAGCGTGTATAATGTGAGCCTCCCCTCTCCTCCCCTGAAACAGGATCGCCCCCCTCCTTCCACCCCAGCCCTGCCAGTTGTGGAGAACCCTCGGGAGGAGAGGAGGGAAGACGACAGGGTGGACGATCCGCTAGTGGACGAGTATAATTATGAAACCATCACAGATGAATACTACACTCCGCTACCATATGAGGATCTGAACTATGATGACCTTGACCCAGCAGAAAAGCTCCCAGAAGGCGCCATTGAGGCAGAAGTTCCCACCACCACGGTCATCACTGTCAATGAAACTGAGGTAATTTCTTTCACTGTGGCAGGTTTTGGCTCTACTTGCAATTCAGTCCCTAATTAAGGTACTGTGGATAAGTGCAGTTTTGGTTGCCGGCATGGTGTCCAGGTGGGGCTGATGGGGTGAAAAACCAGTGAACACTGAGGGTGAGGCACACAAAGGCCCATTACGCACGCACATCTTACTGCAGATTTTCAGAGCAGTAATCCTTTAATCTTGACGTCGGATTCTGTGCCCGCCCTACGCACCACTCTTTTTCCTCCAGTGTATTTATTCTGCAGCTACAATTTTAAAAGCACACTGGGGATCGAACATCACTTGTAACATGTTCAGGTTTTTTTAAAAATTATGCAATTGCCCTATTGCAGCTGCACAGTAGCATGCAGCAAGTGCCATACATTTAAATCCTTGTGGTTCAGGTTTTGTTCATGCATTTTAGTGTTAGTTCCTTGAATAAATGAATGCAGGCAAAGGGGGGGAAAGCGATGTTGAAACTGACCAGACTTTTTTGGAAACTGACAAGTAGCTGCATATTGCTGAGCACTAGGGGATTCACTGCTGAGTTATCGGCCACTGTGAAAAATGGGAGTCACGTGATCTCATAATATGGGGAAACATGTTGAGTGTACAGAATTCATGGTAGAACCCACTAACACTGGCACTGCAAGCTGTGATGATTGGCAACGTGTGTGTTTGCACGTGCCTGTGTAAAGTCGGCTGCAACTCCACCATGCTTTGCACAGGGCTGCAATTTGTATGGGGGAGGAGTCCTCTGGCAGAACCTCTGGAGAGCTTTTTTAGTCTTGTCCCACTAAATTGATTTTTTTGTATTTTCGCCAATGCCCTAGTGCAGCTGCTTAGTAATGCTAATTTCCTGCCCTTCCTTGAAAATTTGCATGGTTTTCTCTTTGTGATTCTCTAATTTGATCCTGCACACTGGTCATGATCTTGGCAGTTTTTAGAGCCTGTCCTGTGTGCATTGCACTCTGTCCTCCAAATGGACTAAAAAAAAGAGAGGGGGGGTTAAATAGAGCTTGTACACCGGTTGAGGGGGGAGGATGGCGAAAGGTGCAGAGCAGGTGGAACAATCTCAGTGTGGGCTAGGGGGGTGACCTTCGAGGGGCGGCAAAAGGGCGAGGAGAGAATCTGAGAGAAACTGTATGCTTTTGAATTACCTTCAGCTTGGAAGCAAAACAAGGGGGAAATCGGCACAAAAGCACTCTCAGAAAACCTGGGGAAACAGTGACCAGATACTGAACACTGAAGGGAGGAAAATCAATGCAGAATGACAAAGAAAACCCGACAGGCGTGCACAGTGAAAGCAGCAAGGGAAAAACACCCCTGCATAATAGGCCAAAGTGTCTGTGTGCCTTCAACACAGGAGTAGAAAATCAGTCAGCTTTCCCCATCCCTGCATCTCTCTGCTGGAAAAGCTTTACCTCTGAATTCTGGGTTTTCTTGCTTCATGACTCACTCTGTTAGAAAGCTTGCCAACAAGTGTCAAAATGAAATCTGATGCAAATTCAGAGGTCTCTGCTTGTGTTAAATGTCTGTCAGAATTTGATGGGGAATTGAGATTATTGGTTTCTCAGGGTCTCTGTGTTGTGCTGCAATAATGGGGGAGGGGAAAGCAAAATCAGCCTCTCGAGGCGGCCACTCACACTGATGGCTTTAAAAAGGGGCTAGGCACATCGCTAGAGGCCACGACAGCTTAAGATAGCAACCTACATGTGCCAGAGCAAGCCACATGAGGAGGAGGAGGAGGAGGAGGAGGAGGAGGCTCTCATGCCCGAGGAGATGTGGGGTCTCTTGCTGGCTACCCCCGCAGATGGAGGAGGTGAATGTTGGTCTCACCCAACAAAGCAGCACTTCTGCTGTGGACCCAGTTGTGGGAGCTGATGGGTGGCCATTCCTGACCAGTCACAGGCATCAAAAATTGCCCCAGGCATTGCAAGCAGTACCAGGCAGCACCACAATGGTTCATTACCACAAGGATGCCAGTTTGGTGTAGCGGTTAAGTGTGCGGACTCTAATCTGGGAGATCCGGGTTTGATTCCCCACTCCTCCACTTGCACCCGGCTGGATGACCTTGGGTCAGTCACAAGCTCTGGCACAGCTGTCCTTGAAAAAGAGCAGTTTCTGTCAGAGCTCTCTCAGCCCCACCCACCTCGCAGGGTGTCTGTTGTGGGGAGGGGAAGGGAAAGGAGTTTGTAAGCCGCTCTGAGACACCTTTGGGTAGTGAAGGGCGGGGTATAAATCCAATCTCTTCTTCTATTTCTCTTGTTTTATGTGATGTTCTCTCCTTTCTGGATATCCTTGTTGGTGTCTGGAGAGCCAAAGGTGAGGTTGTCAGCACAGGCTTTGAAACTTTGCTTTCACTTCTGACTCTGATCCTGACCCCGCTACAGTGACTTCTCTTGTTTTTTTTATCTGGATTTGATCACAGACCTGGGGTTTTAAAAACATATCTCAGTGGACCTCAGAAGCTTATGGGGACTACTCTTTGAGAGGAAGGGTAATGGATATTCTTCCCTGAAGGGTAGATAGCCCTCTGCAGCCTCATATCGGTCCCCTGCCATCTGCAGCCATGGGAGAAGGCCGTTTTCCTGCACTCGGTCCAGTACTTTAGGTAAAGGTTTCCTTTGCTCGAAAGCCAGTCGAATCCGACTCTAGGGATGCGGTGCTCATCTCAGTTTCCAAGCCGAAGGGCCAGCGCTGTCCAAAGACGTTTCCGTGGTCATGTGGCCAGCATGACTAGACGCCGAGGCGCACGTAACACTGTTACCTTCCCACCGAAGTGGGAAGTTGTTACCTTCCGACTATTTATCTACTTGCAATGTCTTGCTTTCGAACTGCTAGGTTGGCAGGAGCTGGGACCAGAGACGGGAGCTCACTCCGTCATGCGGCACACTCGGGTCTCGAACTGCTGAACTACCGACCTTCCGGTCTGCACCTTCAGCGTCTTAACCACTTGAGCCACCACAGCCCCTTCCAGTATTTTAGCCACCTGGGCAGGTTGTTGTGTGGTGTTCCTTACTAACCATGCAGCATGGTGCAAACAGCTTTTTGTGCATGTGTTAACTCGTTTCTTCCCATCCTTGCTGTGCAACTGTCCTATTCAGCAGGTAGTTGTTTAAATAGATCTCTCACGAGTCATATAAATCAGTTCACAGTAAATGCTGTGCCTCAATAGTTGCAACTGCTCAGTTTGATTCAGCAGAGAAGAGTTTGGGGAAACTCAGTGCAAACCTGATCGGCAGGCGTTTTGCGGCTGCTCACCGTGAACTGAACAGACCAAGCGATCAGAGCAAATGTGATTGCCGCCTTCAGACATAGTTAGTTCAACAGTCAAACGTGTTGATGGCAATTCGCGGCATCCCTAGTGCACAGCAGGCCGATGCACAGAACAGTGGGGGTCGTGGCCCAGCGTCCTCTCTGGTCCTGCGTTCCCTGATGGAAGGCGAGTGTGTGAAAGTCCCCTGAGGTGTGGAAAAGGTCTAAAATCTGGTGCCGTTCCCTCAGGTGGCTTTGAGAAGAGTGTCTGAGGTGGGCTGTGATTGTTGTCTTAGACTGCAGGGAGAGAGAGCCAAGGCGGAGAAGATGCTGACAAGGACTTTGCGGAGGAAACCATCCGGGAGTACGACACCTACTACGACGGCTACTACGACAGAACAGACTCTCCTGATATTGGGCCTGGAATGCCTGCGAACCAGGACACGCTTTACGAAGGGGTAAGGGATGCCTGTGCCCCCCGAGGGCTGGCTTGGCCATAAGAGTCCCCCTTTGGGCAAATGTTAACCCGTCTGCCTGGCATGGTTGGTTTGCCTCTTCCTGGTAATTGCCCCACACAGGGAGGGCCTCCGGGGAAAGAGCGAGCCAGCTGAAGGTTGAACCTCATGTGACGTTTGCCGCCAGCAGCTTCAAAACTGGCCCAGCCCCTGGAGAAATGGGGAGGTTAGCGAAAGCTCTGTGTGTACATTAAGCAGACTGTCCCCCCCGCCCCACTTCTCTGCCCCGTATGACTTTTGCCACAATCAGGGTCCAGGAATTATATCTTGTAATTAGCTGGCAATCGCTGATGGGTTATTTCCTCTCCTGAGGTTATTCGTAGGGGGCCAGAAGTGGATTACGGGGGGGGGGGTCCTCTGGGTGAGGTGAAGTGAGAGCCACCCCCCATCGGTTCTTTGGTGGGACTCACAAAACTGAGGGTTCTCCCTATGGGGACGGGGGGGGGGGCGCTTGCCTAGCTAGCTTCTGGGGTATTCTAAGCTTTTTCCCTGCCTCTCCCTGAAAACGGGGGGCCTGTGGCTTGGGGGCAGGGCTCCTGCTTTTCATGCCGTTCCTCAACACCTTCAGTTAAAGGCTGGGAAGTAGCAAGACCACCTGGATCTTGGAGGCTGGATGCCGATCAGAAGAGACCGGCCCGTGTCACACTGCATGTCCTTGGAATAAGGCAGCAGCTTCGTGTGCTAATCAGCTCAGTTTTCAGTTTGTTTTTATAATGTCAATCTGTAACTTACCCGCAGTGCAGTCCTGAGCAGGATTATTCCCTTCCTCATTTGGTGTCGTGGTTATGTGCATGGACTCTAATCTGGGAGAACCGGGTTTGATTCTCCACTCCTCCACTTGCACCTGGCTGGATGACCTTGGGCAAGCCGTAGTTCTGATAAGAGCTGTCCTTGAAAGAGTGGTTTCTGTCAAGAGCTCTCTCAGCCCCACCTACCTCCCAGGGTGTCTGTTGTGGGGAGGGGGAGGGAAAGGAGACTGTAAGCCGCTCTGAGACTCCTTTGGGTAGTGGTGAAGGGCAGGGTATAGATCCAATCTCTTCTTCTTCTTCTTCCTCACAGGGTGTCTGTTGTGGGGAGGGGAAAAGAAAGGAGTTTGTAAGCAGGGCCAGCTCGAGATGTTTCTGCACCCTAGGCGAGGCTGCCTTGTGGTGCAGATGCCAACCTCCCAGTGGGGCCTGGAAACCTGGAGACCTCTGGAGCCAGCCACCCTTTTGCTGCTGCCACCACCCCCTCCTCCCCCCTGCCGCCACCAAATGGGGGGAGGAGGGGGGGAACAGCTTGGCGCCCCATCCAGGGCCCAGCACTCTAGGCGAATGCCTAGTTTGCCTAGTGGGTGAGCCAGCCCTGTTTGTAAGCCGCTCTGAGACACCTTGGGGTAGTGAAGGGCCATGGGGTATAAATCCAATCTCTTCTTCTTCTTCTTCGTCCACTGAAGCCAGGATGGGACTCTGCTTAGGACTGCAGGGCCAGCTCCTTAACCAGTGTGATGCTTGCCCCGCCTTCCGCTGTCCTGGCTCGTGAGTGGAAAACGTTCCAGGATGACTGACATTCTTGGCTCCTCTTCATTTAATTTAATTTAAATGGCATAACAGAGGACCTTTCCTATGAATGGTGTACTGCTTCTGTTCCGGCTTTGGCTATTTCGCTCTGGTTCCTGATGCTGCCTGCCCATATCCTTCCTTTCTTTCCTACATTTTTCATGCCCTTGCTCCAAAGAGCTCCAGGTCTTGTACGTGGGGCTCCTCTCCAACATGGTATCCTCATACCAACCCTGTGAGGTAGGTTAAGCGGAGAGAAAACGACAGGCCAAAAGTCACCCAGCAAACGTCATGTCAGAGAAGGATTTGAATCAGCAGGGTAAATCCAGCCTTCCGTCTCCTGGCCCTTAACTCTTCTGTGCTATGTCTCATCTTGATTCTTCATGAAGAACCAGCTAACCTGCATATGTGGTGCTCTTTAGACAGATTAAGAATCTGTTCAATGTCAAATGGAACATTCTGGTTTGGAGTCCTGCCTGCCGGTGCCTCGGACTTTTCCTGCCAGGGTATTTAGGGTCTCTTTTGTACTTCAGTTCAAATCCCTCCTTGGCCATGACGCAATCTGGGCCTCCTTCACAGGGTTGTTGCTGTAAGGAAGAAAAAAGTGGAATAACCCCACATGTTGATGTATGCCTCTCCCCCCCCCCATTGCTATGAGGGTCTCCTGAGAGTGTCCTCGAATAAAAACAATGGGTAATCATTTCTCATGGGAACTAACGGGAAGGAGCACGTGTGAGCAATAAATGAAATGTCTGAGCAGCATACTTCAAATGCCCCCTTTTCCGTTGCATCTCACGGGGTAAGTGAGGCATTTGGCTTCCATATTGGTCAGCCTGCAGCACATGCGGCTCTTGCAAAACGGTGCATGTGATCAGTTGTTCTGACTTGCGTTTTCCTTGTCTGATGCAGATCGGTGGGCCACGAGGTGAAAAAGGGCAGAAGGGGGAGCCAGCGATCATTGAACCGGTAATGGCCTTCCTTTGTCATTGCTTAGCATGTGTGTGGCAGCTGGAGACTCCATGTGAGCTCACGGGGGGGGGGAATGGAGGACGAGGAACATCCACAGCTCCTTTTCAGCCTCCCGCTAAACGCACATAATCTGTTGTAACTACTACAAATAGCAGCAGTAGAGAAATCTGCTCTTCAACCCAGTGGCTAGAATTTTTGGGGGAGGGGGGGAAATAGGGGGCAGTTTAGCACTGTGGCTAATTTAATCAATGGCGCTAATTCAGTTACCGGATCTAATTTGATTACTGGAGCTGTTCTGCCACTGCCCAAAGTGAAATTTCCGCAAAAGGGTGTGTGTGTGGAGGGGGAAGATGCAAATTCCTTCATGCCTTTTTGGAGGGGGATATCCAAGGGGCAGGCTAGGGAAGTTCCTCCCCCACCCCACCCCCCGCTCCCCGACGTACCCCCTTGCGGGCTCCCGATGTCTCTTCCCCATGACTGGGTGGCATTTCCCAATCATGCCCTGTAGGGATGCCGTTGCAGCCGCTCCCCCCCCCCCCATGAGAAGCCAGCCCCAGCCTCCTCCTCCTGCTGCTGCTTGTCTTCCTGGAGGTGGGCCTGTGGGTGCCGCTGCTGCACCAGGGGAGGGGAGGGGAGCATGGCGCAGGGCAAGGCTGCAGCAGGGCTTCACCGTTGGGCCGCCTGGCTCTTGGCCACCATGCCCGGGCAGAAGAGGCTGCAGCAGGCCTTCAGAGCAGCACTGCTTTTGCCACAGCACCTTTGACCTCTTCTTCTTGCCAGACAAGTTGCTACATAGGCGGGCGGAAGTGGAGCTGGTGCCCTCCCCCTCCCCGGGCTCCCTGGGAGCAGAGTCCTTGCTGGTCACCCCAGGCTCCTCCACCTAATGGGGGGGGGACCAGGAGGGGGGGAGGGGGAGGGCACATTCGGGAGGGGGTGTTGCCCCCCCCCCCCGTGGCTACGGGACTGCTGCTCTTTCTCTCCTTTGCATGGTGATGGTGATGGAGTATATGTGTGGGTGAGAGAGAGGGGGAGGGGGAGGGAGCGGGAAAGAGAAATGCAACAAGAGACATTCCCCCCCCCCCTCCCAGGGTCCCCTACTAGGAGCACAGTTACAGTTTTGGAGAATTTGGGCACTGGATCTTAACTATGGTCATATTGGTGAAATGCTCTGATCATGCAAAAAAAAAAAAGATTTCCTAGGAATGCTGACGGCTTGCTTGCGCACTCTCGTCCGTGTCCTGTGGGCGACTTCCAGTGGCAGCTGTGTGGGCGAGTCGGTCAGTGCAATTCAGTTGCTGGAGAGAGCGTGCCTGTGCCCTTTTCGGGGGAGACCTGGGGACTTTTGGGCAACTGTGTCAGAAGCTGAGGGACCACTGGAGTGAGAAAGGCAGAGACTTGTCCTGCTGGTCAGTATCCCCAGAGGGGCCACGTGGCGGCTGCGGAGAGGGGCTAGCCCGAGGCCTCCAGCTGGGGGGTTCTGGGGGGAGGCTGGCTGGAGGCAGCTCTTTCCAATTCCTTGCTGCAGCACCGGATGCGCCTGCCTAGACCCCCTCCTCTCCACCACCACCTCCCCCCCCCCGGCTGTCACTGCAGTCCCTTCAGAGACTGCTGCGCTGCAATCACATGCCGGTGGCTGTGGGATCCCAGACAGGAGCTGGCGTTTCCTCACACACACACACCCCGGCCCCGCTGCCACCACCGTCGTCGTCCCTCGTACTGTCCATGCTGCACAGCGTATGGCCGGTGTCAGGGCTCGGCCCTTCCCTCCGATGGGCTCCCCTGACATCCGGAGTTGTGACTGGAAGGGGGGGGAAGGGCCCTGGGCTGGTGGGGGGCACGGCCAGCAGCTCCTCTCTGTGGCACTTATTTGTAGCAGTCCGTCCATTTCCTGCTTCTTTTCTGAGCCACACCAGTCCCAGTTGGAGCCTGAGAGCCGGTTTCAGCTGCCGGCCCTGACTCCTCAGCACCCCCCAGCTTAGAATACTGACACACACACCCCGGGGGGGGGGGTGTTGCTTTGCCCGTGGCTCTCTCCATAGAGGCAACACAGATATGTGTGTGTGGCAAGAGGGCCGCTCTAAGTCTGCGTCTGGAAAGTTGCCCTCAAGGTGGGGCCACACGGCTATCTTTTCTGTGTGCCCATAAAGTGACGTTTGGGGTCACCTCACCTTCCCTTTGCAGGCGCTTGCCGCCTCAGGTGCCCGGCTTCTTCCCTGGCAGGGCTGTTGTGCTTTGAGGAGCTCCACAACAGTCGCTGAGCAGCAGCTCATGCGGCCTCTGAGGCCCTGATCTGGATGAAGGGTGTGTCTCTGGTGGGGAGCCCTTTCTCTCCCCCCCCCACCCGTGCCCGCAGGCCGCCTGCCCAACTCCCCCTCCTCCCGGCTGCTGTTTGGCTCATAGAAGGAAGACGTCAGGCAGTTTGGTGTCTCACAGGGGGACAAATTAGCAGTTGGGGGTGTTGCTTCAAGTCCTGGAATGTGTAGGGGTGAAAGGGTTAAACCCCTGCTTGGCTCCCCCCCCCCCCCCCAGATGCTACTGGCCTGATCTAAATTGCCTTTCCCTGACTGTTAATTGCCCATTGGTCGGGAGTCATGGATGGATGGATGGATGGATGGATGGATGGATGGATGGATGGATGGATGGACGCTGTCTAGTGCAGCCCTACTGCTGCTGTTATTTGCCTTTAGAGACCATTCAGCACCATCAGAGACTAAGGGTACAGCGGAAGAGGGCAGGGCTCCCATGCCTTTTGTGGCAGGCAAAGCCGGAATTCTGCTGCTTTCCCCATCACTTGGTTTGCACGCCAAGGGTGAGCTTCACGACAAACTGTCTGCATTCTGTGCTGCGTGAATATACACGGGCACCCTGCTGGGTAGGGTTGCCAGACCCCAGTTGTAGGTGGGGGATCCCTCTGTTTTGTGGACTCCTTCCTAACCACCCACCCACCGCTGGCCGGGTGGCTAGCAGGAGGAACTCCTCCCCCCAACTGCAACATGGAGTGATGTGCCGACACCCCCTGGAAGGGACGTAGGTGCGTCGGGGATGTGGGATGTCTGTGATGCTGTTGTTTAGGGGCAACACTCTGTGGCTTGGGAGCAATTCCACCTTAGAGTTTTGCCCAGAAACCAGAGCGCCGCCCCTGATGTGCCTGCACCGCTTTCAGGCGATGCAGGCACAGCATGTGATGTCACTTCTGGTGACGCCAGCACGTCAGGGGCAACGCTTCTGGCTCCCAGAGCATCACCCCCCCCGGTGTCTCAAAGGGACCTGGAACCTCCACTGCTGGGAGCAAAGCTGGCCATCCTCACTCAGGGTGCCTGGTGCAGGCGGGCATCGCTCACAGCAGGCTCAGTCCACTTTCCCAGCCATGGCTTCTCCATCCCTTTCCCACAGTCGCCCCGTCTAGCCCCGTCTACCACTCCTTCCCCTCCTGCACTTGCTGCTCACCAGGAACTCAGTTAACCCAGTTTTGCTTGGCAGAGTGGTTGGAGGAATCGCTATCCTCTCTGACCTCTGGGGTCAGAGGTTTTCATTTGCCGCTTCTCCATGGCCCCAGGTGACTTTCCTGCAAAGGCGGCAGCTGCTTTTCGAAAATCCTCCCCCCCCCTCCTCTCCCCCTCCTCTTATCCCAGACTCCACTTAGTTGTAAGTGCGCATGTTCCTGGGAGAAAATAAAAAATGTGTGCAATCCAAGTGTGGCAGGATCTGCTAATACAGTTACATAAAATCCTCTCTGCAAGAAGTTACCCAGAGAACAAAACACAGTTCAGCTTAATCATCCCAAAAGTATTTGGCAGCCCCAACGGCTTTCAAAACGCCGGACAGTGGAACGGCTGCCAGAAGGTAAACAAGACCAAATGCTGCCTTTCCCTCCCTGTCTCTCTCTGTCCAAGACGAAATGTTCAAGGGCTGCTTTTTAAAAAAAAGGAAGAGAGAGAATGGCTGCTCCTTCTTTTCAGCAAAGACTTAGATGCATTTAGAGGAGGGGGTGTGAGATATCCTTTGCCTGGATGATATCTTTCATCCTCTTCTCAGTGGAGGCCCTAGATGCTAACTTAGAAGTTGGAAGAGATGGGGTCAGCCACTGTGTGCGCGTGCGCGTGTGTGCATGCTTCTGCCTGTGACGTCAGTGTGCCACGTTCTTCTTCACAGCCTCCGCAAGCCAGGGGGAAAGTAAGGAAGGGCTTTCTGAAGGGGCCCACCTGAGTCCCCTCCAGAAGTAATCCATGTTAACAAGCATCCCTTCCTGCCCGCTTGCGGAACTGGGCTTGCTTTCCCTGCCCGTTCCTGGGAGATGAGCCCTGCTTCTGCCTCTGGTTTGCACACTATGCTGGAGTGGAGTGTGCAGCAGAGGCCCTGGATCTGGGGGCTTTGTGCTGTTGGCACACCAAAGGTGGTTTTGGTCTGTGGGGCTGCTCGTCACTTTCCCCCTGAGAGTGAAATTGGGGACCCAGAGGAGGGAAAACCTGTCCCTCCTAACCCTGGGGTCCCTCACCTCAGGGAGGAAGGCAGGTCTTACCGTATCTCTCCCAAATCTCAGAAGTGGGTGGCCTGGGCCATCTGACTATCAAGATGGGGCTTCAGCCAGCCAGACTAACTGAGATTTCTCAGCACCACACAGGGATGATGCCCTTCGGCTGAGCGGTGGGCCACTGGAAACTGTCCTTCAGGAACCTGAGGGGTGTGTGGATAATTGTGGGGCGGAGGGACCAGGATGCCAACAATGTTGAAGGCCAGCGGTTGAAATAGGAGCACGGTCCATATAGGAGCATGGGCCACACTGGCTGTATGTGGTGCTGTTGGTGTGTGTGGCATCTCTCAGGATGGCCAAAGCGGGAAGAGGCAGGTTTCTGTCCTGAGGAACTTACAGTGCCAGGAGGTGGGGGCAGGGAGGCAGACAGGTCACACCGGAGGGATGTGAGGCGGCCGGCCTACAGCACTCGCGCCCAGTCGGGGCTGCGGCTTGATAGGCCTGCCAGACTGGAGGGGGGTGGGGGAGGGCAGGATCCAGACACCAGGCAGGCCACGGGCCACCGTCGGTGGGCTGTCTGCGCCACGGTGAGTGGCAAATTACGCAGGCCTCAAGGAGAGCCGGACTCCACTCTGAGGACGCCATCCTGGGCCCGCCCTGCCCATCTCTTCTGTTAAATCTCCGCCTCCTCTGTCACATCCTTTGGATTACCCACCCTTCCGTCAATCCTGGCAGTCGGGATTCCTTGCCGAGGAGAGACTCCAGATGTCCCCAGAGCTGGAGCTGAAGATAAACCACAACGCTGGAAACATGGGGAGATGCCAGGAAGGGGAAACCAGCCCCTCGCTGTCCGGCTCTGGGGCCTCTGTTGTGAGCAGTGTTCCCTCTAAGCTGAGTTCGTGTGAGCTAGCTCACAGTTTTTTAGCCTCCATCTCACACATTTTTGTCTTTGCTCAGGAAGGATGGCTCCAGAGCAAACTAATTTATGCAGAAGCCAAATCGCTCGCTCACAACTTTAATGCCAGGGGCTCACAAAGTAGAATTTTTGCTCACAGGACTCCACAGCTTAGAGGGAACATTGGTTGTGAGCCCTGATGGCAAAGCCACTTGTGGGGGGGGGCAGGAGGTGTCCAGCAGAAGGGGATAACCCCAGAGAGGCTGGGACGGGTTTCCCCACAGCAGATTAACGGGAGCCCCGGACAGAATTTATGCCAGCAGAAGCATTTTGGAGTCAGAGCCGGATGTTTCTGGGGCCGCCGTGAGGCAGAGACGCTTGTGCTTAAATCCACAAACAAGGGAGGGCAGACATTGCAAAGAGAAGCCAGCTGAAAACTAGACCCATTCAAAAGAGTACCGGCTCTCTTTGGAAGGTCTCCCTCCTCCTCCTCCTCCTCCTCCTCCTCCTCCTCCGAGTTCAGTTTCTCCTCTCCGTCGCTCCCCCCCCCGTGGACTCTCCCCTTTCCCTGCTTCTTTCTCTCCCTCCCACCAAGCAGCCGGCCGGCGCTTGCTCACCTGCCCCTCCGTCCTCAGCCGCTCCCGAGAACTGAGGGGATCCGTCTAGCCTGGGCGGTCCAGGTCTCGACTCTGCCCGCTGACGACCTCCCATCATCCATGTATACCCCGCCTTTCTCCACAAAGCAGCTTGGCTCGTTCTTCCCGCCTCCCTTTTGTCCTCACAATGGCCCCGTGGGGTCCGCTAGGCTGAGCGTTTGTGACTGGCCCAGCAGAACCTGGTGCGTGTCCCTGGCAGACTGTGAATGGACAAGGCCAAAGCCGGAGAAAACTGACGCCACAGTGGGGACCAGAGCGTGGGGACGTCCACAAAACCTTGTCCTGAAATAAATGCTGTTAGTCTTTCAGGTGCATATACCAACAAAGGGAGCAGCAATGAAATGACACCTGAACACAATGGATTGCTGCAAAGTGCATACAATTAAGAATAATAGACAATAATTAAACAATAGTACTGATGAGCTTCATGATGTTTTAATCTTTGTTTTTCAACAATAGGGCGCCACCAAACAGAAGATGATGACGTCAAGATGAACGGACGAACCTCCCGAGTTACCGTTCGTTTCGAAGTTTCTTTATCAGACAGGTCTCAGTTCAGCGTTCTTGTGCAATAAAGTCAACCACAAGGGTGTTCTTAAATTCAGATAACTTCTTCCACAGCTCTTTGCTAACAGTTACACCTTTCAGTCAGACAACAAGTTCATCTTGACGTCATCATCTTCTGTTTGGTGGCGCCCTATTGTTGAAAAACAAAGATTAAAACATCATGAAGCTCATCAGTCTTTCAGGTGCAACTGGACTCCTGCTCCACGACACCCCTCTGGGCCCCCAGGCCAAAAACTGCACGGCGGGGGGGGGGAACAGTATGCCACCCAGTGTGCCCTCTGCCCCCCTGGAAAGGACTCAGCCATGCTCCTTCTGGCCCGCGACGGCCCCGGTGCCAGGCAGGAAGAGAGAGGGTGGCCCTGGCTCCTGAGGGGCCTTTGAGCAGAGCTGTGCCTTGTGAACGCCTCAGAGCCGGGCCACAGCTCCCCCACAGCTCGCCCATCCAAGGAATCTGGGGTCAAGCATCAGAAAACGCCACCGTGCGAACTAGCATGGATGAAAGCAACCTACAGAGTGCGTTTGGGCCGTGGACGTCTGCGCCTGTCCCTGCCATCTGTTGGGCGGATTCAGAGACAGGGACTGGAACTGGAACGGGACGTGAGAGTGCTGCATGAACTCCCAAGTGTTCCCCTAGCAAGCGCCCCAACGTGGGGGTGGGGGTGGGGTGGGTCCTCCCATGGGAAAGTTCGTATTAGGGAAAGTGTCTCAAGCTTTCTTCAGAGCTCCTTGGACGTCTTGGAATGCCCAGATCCATCCAGAATGTTTCTTTAGGTGCAGTCTTGGGACGTGTAACCCTTCCTTTCCCTAGAAGGAATAGCAGGATTTGACTTTTTGAATTTGCTTGAAACGCACTGGTTCCTCTTGGCCAGCCATGAGCTTTTATATTTGCCTTATCTGCATTATGGCTCCAGGTGCACTTTGGGGATGACTTCAGTGGCTGTGTGCGTGCACCCGTGGGAGGGGGAGCCGGTTTCCCCGTGGGTGGAGCTAATGAGGCAGATGTTTTCTTTAGCTGGAGGGGGACAGGGGAGGTTGCCAGAGGCCGTCCCTGTGGCATCACCCCCCACACTCTGGCCTGGCACAGCTCTCCCGACCGACCGACCTTCGCTTCAACCCTGACCTCCTTTGAGGGGGTGGGATTGGCGCGGAGGGTTGGCTCTCCCCCAGCCGCTCGCCCCGGCCTTTGCTGGATCCCTTGGTTTCCTCCCCGCCGAGGGAGGGAGTGCTCCCACTTTGGTGCAGAGCCCGCAGAAGTGTGATCTGGGGCGTATCATGGGAGGGAGTTTAGCAGCCCTAGACAGGAATACCTTTTCCTTCCCCAGCAGAGGGCTTCCCAGACCTCTGAACCCTGAACCAGCCCCCCCCGCCCCCCCGAAACTGGAGGACACGCTTACCTTTGCATGGGCAACAGTTTGATGAGCTTCTGAGTATCACTGGTCTCTTTACTGGGGAAGACAGCCTATTGGAAACCTCCTGGAGAGGTCCTTTGGGGGCAAC